GAAGAATACTGATATCATGATGTCCTACAATCGATGCGCTGGTATACATTCAAATTTTGGTATCGGTTGTGAGTGAGTGAATCCTTTTATGGAGCTTTGGACTACTGGTTTACTGGTGATGTACCATTGTGAATCGAGTAAAATTGAATAAGCCTTGCTTTACTTCTATCAGCTAGTGATTCCTATCCTCATGTAGTTAGCATTTTGGTGACACTTGGTGTGCCACTATAATCGGTTAGTTACAAATTTAACAGCTCTCATTTGTATCCGGTCGTATTAATGTGGTCTAGTAAAAGTCCATGACAACAGCAGCATATTCCATGTGGGGTCTAACTAAATGCTGGATTGGATTGGATTTATTCGGTGTAAACACCAAGGATGCTTTGTAAGCTATTGTATTTGTTTCCTGAATACACTTGTATTATAAATGTTGAAGCAATCCCAAAATCTGATAATAATTCCAAGATATCTGTGTTCATGAACTTACGATACAGTAATACTTGGCCCTGCATTGAGTAGTCATTGTTTATGATTTTCTTTCATAATTATCATGACGTTACACTTTCTTGCGTTAAAGGACATCTGCCATTTCGTAGCTCAGTTGTACCAGGGGGATCTAGAATTTAACATTGATTTGCATTGAAATTTTTAAAATTTAGTAGCAAACCAGGGGGCGCACATGTCCCCTGCTCCCCCTACTGGATCCGCTCTTGAGTTGCACATCTCATTTAAAGCCTTCTTGGAGCTCGGAGCAATCTTCCTTGTTTTTGATCGTTTTGTAGATTATCTGATGTTAGCTGATGAGACGGGTAATTACAACACCACCTGGAAAATAATTCATAGCCTTTCTGGAAAGCACTCAAGGCAAAATCCGAAAGTGAAGAAGAGAGATGGAACAGCTCCAGCTAGTAGTCAGGATTTGCTCAAGGAGTGGAAAAATTATTTTAGTTCCCTTCTTAACAATGATAGTGAATTGGACTCACTAGAATTGCCAGCACCAGCTATTGAGGATCTTCCTATCATCACGGATTCCCCTACTCGTGAAGAGACGGCCGAAGCCATAGCAGCCATGAAAATCAATAAGGCAGCTGCATTGGACTGTGCTGTTGCTGCTGAAGCACTGCAGGGAGGAGGTGATTGCATGATCGACATCATTCATGCTTTTTGCAAGGAAGTATACACTACACTCTCACCTCCACGGCAATGGGTCACCAATGTCATCATTCCTCTACCTAAGAAAGGCGACCTCTCCCTTATGTCAAATTACCGGGGCATCTCACTAATGTCTATTGTAGCAAAAGTCAAAATCCTGATCAACTGTCTTAGACCACATATTGATCCTGTGCTAAGGAACAACCAAGCCGGTTTCAGATCTGGTCATAGCTGTGAACAGCCAACTCACATATTGAGGAGGATCATGGAAGGTTTTAAGGAATACCAACTGCTTCTGACAGTCACCTTCGTAGACTTCAAGAGAGCCTTCGACTCCATCAACAGGACAGTTATGTTTGCAGTACTGTGGCATTATGGCATCCCAGAAACCGTGGTTAAGGCCATCCAACAATTCAAGTAGTACTGTCATGGTGGATGGGAACATCTCAGACCCATTCCCAGTAACAACGCGTGTCCTGCATGGTGATGTCTTAGCCCCTTTTCTGTTCATAATTTTAGTGGATTACCTTTTATTGAAATCAAGTGGAGCCGAATCTGGTATCATGACCCATCCACGCAGATCAAGGCGATTCCCAGCTAAAATGTTGAATGACCTTGACTTTGTGGATGACATCGCCCTCCTTGCACCCTCAATGGCACGGGCCCAGTCACAGATCTCCATAACTGCAGCAGCTGCAGCGGGGTTAGGTCTAGTTATCAGTGCTCCGAAGACAGAGTACATGACCGCTAATTGCAACTCACAGCCAGCACTTGAAGTTTATGGCAATACCATCAACCATGTATCTGACTTCAAATATCTGGGATCTAGGATGGAATCCAGTGCCGCAGATTTGAAACGTCGCAGAGCTCTGTCTTGGTCTGCATTTTGGAAACTTGAACATCTTTGGAGAAATACATCCTTGCCTATCGCAACCAAAGTGAAGCTGTTTAAGACAACTTGCGTCACGGTTCTCTTATATGGCTCTGAGTCTTGGATTATCTCCGAGGATATGGAAAGCAAAATTAACGGTTTTGCAAAATCTTGCTTTAGAATCATGCTGAACGTCAAGCGAATAGACAAAATTCCAAATTCAACCATATACAACCTGACTGATACAAGTCCTCTTATTGTCCAAGTAAGAAAACGCCAGCTCAAATTTCTGGGCCATATACTTCGCCTCCCAGATAATGAGCCTGTGAAAGAATACGCCTTGTATGTTCCACCGTATGGAAAGAGGAAACCTGGTCGCCAGCGCATTCTGTTTTTACATTATATCCAGCGCCTATTTGGGTGATCCTGAGGGAATGCTGCAGCCACACCAAATTATCTCAATGGCCCAAGATCGCAAAAACTGGGAAAAAAAATTTCTGGTCGCCTGCTCCGCAGCCGACTGATGATGACGATGATGATGTAGATTATCATTTTATCTGCGAATAAACTGATGTTACATTCCCGGTCCATGATGCCATTAATATATAATAGGAACAGTAGTGGCCCCGGTGCACTTAGCCATTTCGTAAACTCGCCGCTGTGCCCAAAATTATGTAGTTTCTACGCATGCGCTAGAATTTTGCGTCATAAACGCGATCGAGATTGTGAAAAGAAAACTCAATCTATGACGAGTAACAGAAAGTGTACTGATGACATACAAACTAATTTTCGAGTCTCAATCAGTGTAGTGATATTTTTTTTTGTTCGCTATGACAAGACAAATCCAAATACATTTTAAAACATTAAAAAAAACCACAATTACCACAAATGTAAACTAAGTAAAAAGTCCTAAAACTTTGCATTGCACTAGTTTCATGAGAGAGTATCGAAAATGGTAAGTTTAATAATAATAATCGTCGTATTTTGTATTAGCCGTCTTACTTTGTAATAAACCATATCGTATTTTTAATACCTGTCATATTTTGTAAAAAAAACCTTGTCGTATTTTGTAATAACAGAGCAGTCGTATTTTGTAATAAATCTCTGTCGTATTTTTTAATAAACTAAGTTGTATTTTGTAATAAATTCTCGCGTTGTTTGTAATAACACACCAACTGATTGCTTTCTTCCATACTTTTGCAGTTTGTGGGGGATTAAATACATACTTTTATAAATGATAGTTTAGTGTGATGTCAAAGGTCTTTTTTCTATAGTTATACTATTTTGTTAAAATAAAATAGTTGTGTTAATGATTATTTAGTGTGGCTGTGTGATAAAAAGAGGTCAAATGCCATATATATCTCCCCTTTTATTTTACAATGAACATTGTATGAATATGGAATCAATTATAGATATAACAATGGCTTATGATTTGGAACATGGTCAATTGTCACTGGAAGTAAGGGAAATGAATGGAATCAGACTACCGAAATTTACCTTGAAAATTACTCCTGACGGTTAAAAGAAAACAAAGACTAACAACTTTTCTTCAAATGTCTTTTCCGGTCGCTATCAGTATTAATCATCACACCGTTTTATGACGTATACGTAAAATAACGGGTTATTTTTCAATAGTTACACATTATATTATATTATATACAACATTGGTTATTATACAGTAAATGAAAAGATTTTTTAGAATATTATTTTCATGCGACTTTTGACCTCATTTTATCACACAGCTACACCAAACAATCAT